TCTGCGTGCGAGTCTAAGGGCCTTCGATAAGGATGCACCGTAAACTGGATACAAACGGGTTAACTGATCAGCCGGCTAAGCTGAACTACCAACTGTCAGCAGCAAGCCAATTAGCCAGTGTTCCGCTCACCGACATTGAACACTGGAGCTTCTTGCAACATGTGATGCTAAATTCGGGCCAATCATTCTGCAGCTTAACTTATCACCCCTCGAAGGGTTGGAATTTTTCGTTCTCTCAGACATTGTTTAACCGCCTCAAAATCCTCCCATTAACCTCAGACCACAATAGACTTGATCGCATGATCCAATGACAAAGCAGACAAACTGCTCGCGGCGATCGGGAAGTTGGGTAGCCATAGCGTGCTCTGAAGATGGAGGCCGCAGCTCACAATGAAAATAGTTGCAGGCTGTTCCAGCTCATTCGCAACACTAGACACAGGAGATCTGGTACCACCGAAATTATCTGTGAAGCATGCGGGTCGCCAATATTAACTTGCAGCGATGGAATGACAGATGGGCTGAGACTGTATAATTTCCGTTCGGTTGCTAAGGGCTGTCCAACTTTGCAAGCAACACACCCGGTCGCATACCATGGGCAGTGTCATTAAAATTATCAATCGAAGCGGAGGTTTATCTTGAGCTCCAACAAGTTGAATGCTTTTAGGCTACAGGCTCAGATAAACTGCTCCGACATTTGTTAATCAGCTAACATCCTTATTCCTGAAGACATGGTAAGAAGCAGGGATAAACTCTTCTTGACAAGAGTCCGAAAGTGCCCCAAACTTCAAAAAATGTCTTTGTACCTCATGCACCAGTCATAGAGGAATCAATCTTGCACCGGTTACTTCCAAAGTACTAGCATCCATCATGCTCCGCAGGCTGGTCACAATACGTGAAACGCACCACCTGGAAGGAACATACAGTTGCTCTCCTTTGTCGGGGATAGATGGATCAAATATTCACACTTTGTCAAGTTCCCGAATGTTGCCACTTCTACCGCAAATACACCATCGACGCCTTCCTGAACATTTGGGCCGCATTCGACTTAGTAGACCGACTAGCTTTATGACGATGCTTGCTAACCATTGGAGTTCGTGATAAGTACGTTCCTATACGATGGGACTATACCTCTATATTTCAGGTGGAGTGAGAGCCTGCGGTAAGCCTCCAGCCTGCTATCCTGTCAGCATTAATGTGTGACAGGGTGCTCCATGTCTCCGTTCTTGTGCTAGATGAGGTCCTGCAGGGAGCTTTAGAAGAGCTACAGAGTATGGCATCCAGTTCCTTTCAGGTGATCGGGTAACTGATTTAGGTTACGATGATGATATCGCCTGGCTTGGTGATGACTCTCATGTTGGTGGTTGAAGCGTCTAGGTATTGTATGTTTTTCCCCTCCAAGTGTCAAGTACTGTTACAAAACTTCCTCAGCTCCACATCGCAGGCATACAATTCAAACACGTGGTTAGTTTCCTCTACCTAGGGAACTGCAGATCAAACAACGGCACTATGAGAGAAGATGGATCCAAGCATCGAGACCTGGATGGCCTAGATGACCCAACGTAAGCACTGTACTCAACTAGTTTGTGAGGGTTAAATGGTATAGTAGAAGAAGTTGGCAATGCGTATGGCTTCGAACCACAAGCTTCCGTATCAAAAGGTAAACCATCTACGTTTTGTGAAATGGAAAATTCCTCCTCTTCAAACAGCCGACGGACCCACATGGACACCAAGAGAAGCAGCGAATACCCTGCGCCTGCAATATGCTTCAACATTTCAGCGGGATCAGTGGCCACCTAATCCAATGACAGTGGTTGTCGCACTCCCAAAACTCACTCACATTTCTTTAACGGCAGAAGCTGATTAACTACTTGTTTAGTATGCGCAAGCACATCATTCTTGAAGTCGAAGATATACACTCGAAGTCGCTAGCGGCGGTGGGACAGGGACTAACTGATCCTTCGGCTTGGTGATTCCAACACTGGTCTGATGATATGTACGTGCCCGACATGTGGAAAAACTGGATGATTACTCCTATTCACTTGAGGTAGTTGTTCCAATCCAGCTTACATAATCTTACTACCGGTAATTTCATAGGCCATCGCAGCTATTATTTTTGGTGCACTAATGGCCTTCTTGGAAGAATTCAACTACCTAGCACCAGAACAGCATGTCTTCTGATGAAATTGATCATCCACTGCAACCAACTGCTAGCACGATCCACTTGGACCGAAGCAGTAAACACTGGTACAGAACTTGTTGTGGTTACTCTCCACTATCTAAAGGTGTTCGACTGCTAAACCATGACATTTTGCTCTCCAAACTCCAAACCTTTGTTATTGGTGATCCTCTCCTTGCATGGCTCAGAAGCTTTATCCTACATCGGCGGAGGTGGGCAAATTTCTCTCAGATCCCATCCAATTTAAATGCGGCGTGCCACAGGGATCGGCACTAGGATTAGGATTGTTTCCGATGTATATCAATGATATCCTACGCCTCATAAGCTCGAACTGCCTGCATTATGCCGATGACAACAGGGTTTGGAGGACGAGCACTACGCCAGAGGATAACACAGTACTTCAAGCCGACCTGGAGAGAATCTATAAGTGGTTAATCCAGAATATACTTCGGTTAAAATGGACAAATGTAGAGTGCAGCACCTATGAAATCAGTTAGTATGCTCCTAAAAGCTCGGCCATCGGAAGCTACAAACTCCTCCTGGCGAAAAGAATCTGGGCGTTTTGGCCCGGGACGAACTTGTATTTTCGAAACATGCCGAACAGACATGAAGAAGGAGCATGCAGCACGTGGCTTTCTGAAGCATGTATTCCACCTACTCAACTCTTTGATTTTCTAAAGCTTTTAGGCTTATATATACGTACACATGTGGGGTACGCAATACAGGTCTGGCATCCACGGCTGAGGAGAATTTGATCAGCTTGGAGATCTCCCATTGCCGGACAACCAATAATGTCAGAGCTTTGTAGTATTTTCCGTATGAACGTAGGCTTTAAGTGCTCGGTGTCTTCAGTAAGCAATATCGGCGGTTACGTGGCGACTTTCTTAGGACTTACAGAATTTTGAGAGATCCAAAAAGCGCGTGCGGCAAATTGATATAGGTCAGTCACAACAGTAATTTGAGAGGTCACCATATTAAGCTAACAGAGCAGTACAGTGGTTGGGAATTTCATCGACATTTCTAACTAGTATGTGTTTGAAAAGCGGGGTATGCTTTAAAAGAATCTGTCATCTGTGCTCCCACGCTGGCAGAGGTTTAAAAAAACTCGTGTTGACCCTGCAGTCTTTTCGTTGCACCATCTCAAATGACTCATCGTACATGGCAAAACACGAGTGTTAATCAGACAGTCCACTGCTGATCAGCTCCCAGAATACTTTTCACCTTTTTTACTTTCCGTATGTGTTCACCATGTTGGACAGTCCATCATGCGCTGAGGCGTGTGATAGCTAGATCCTGACGGATCGTCGACCAGCTGCTCCCAATATTGTGCCGTGGACTCACTTTCTGGCCGCCTTCTCCGGGCGACCGATGGGTGGGAGTTGAGTTGCATCATTCTTCTAGCTGAGGCCCAGGACACATATAATTCGGCGTTACTCGGTTCTCTGAATCATGAGGCAGTCCCGCTGCCATTCGGGTGTATATTTTACGATGGGTTTTGGTTGAGGGTCCGAGTTGTCCTCCTGTGAGGTGTGGACACCTTGACAGGATCCTAGTCCATCCCCCAAGCCTGAATTTCGCCAATCTGCTATAGGGATTAATTGTCTATGGTGACCATTTGCTTATGGCGACCAGCCAACAACATAGCCAACCTTTTCTCCTGTGAGTCTTGTCCCTATACATGAACTTATCCATGGCGCTCACCTGTCTAAGGCGACCAATTCTTGGCGGTCCCTTGATTGGCCGCCTTAGACAGGTTGGACAGTAACCCCATGCTGCATCGGCCGTCTCGCAGTGGCACTAGGAAAGGGGTCGCCTTATCTGCTGCGCACAGCGCGGTGGGTAAACGAAAGCATGCTACCCACCACGTCTCTCTTCTTTATCCAGTCCCATAGATAATCCCCTGGTACCCATTTCATCTAACCCAGTACTCTTTCCAGTCAAGGCCACCACCCGTACCATTGTCAGCCACCGTAATCGTATGGCTCCGCGAGAACCGTACAAAGGCGGGTGCTGGAGCGTGCGCACACAGCTCGATTGGTACATGAGTGGGCCACCCGAGCGACGCACTGCACTGGTCACGACGGAACGCGTGCTACTGTTTGATAATCCTTCACTCATCGAGAATTGGCTCGCTGACCAAGGAGGCTGCATAGACCTGGTGCTGGTTACACCTTCTACTGCGTGGGAAACGTCACCTCAGCACTAAGGGAGCGTGGGGTCGAAATTACATTATGCGAAAGTTTAAATGGCCAACTCGTGGCAGAGCCGAATGGCACCAGCCCACGTTTGATGACACTTCGCCTGCCACTTAAAAAGAGATATGTTTGCCATTTTATCAGCACTCATGGTCCCGCCATCTATTATCCTGATGACACAAGGGATCAGACTTACACTAAGATGTCCTCCGTGAAACGGTCTATGTCGAGGAGCGACCGACTATTCCTACAATGCACGCGTTGTGCATGATGCCGCGGTGTGTACAGACGTAATGGGGTCGTATGGTATGAGCACAGCCAATGGGAACCGGCACCGTCTGCTCTCACTGCGTGCCATTCACCGCTTGGCGATCACTCGCACACTCTTTGAACGGGATGCGAGTGATATGACCACTTGGACGTATCCACGGATTTGCCACACTCACCTGCTCGAACTTGTGATTATACTCCAGTTGACATGCGTGAAGTACGCATGACACGTGTACTGTGTGGAGCTGAGTGTGGCACTTATCACAACTTGATACAGACTGAAATGTACATATATGTTCGCAAATCCATATATTGCTCAGTTGCCATGAATCGGAGCAAATATAATGCTCGTTCCCTAGGTACTATTGAGAAGAGGATGTAGTTGGAGAATGCGCTGACTACCCGCCTTGGCGACGTCAAATCCAAAGCCCAAGCGATTGAGCTGTGGAACCACATCCGAGAGGTGATGGCTGCTGCCTAGCAAACGATCGAGCGCGCAAATCGCAAATGGACCAGTTGGTTTGATGACAATCGTGCGACCATTGGAGCATTGGTGTTGGAGAAGAGTGCAGCGTTCACTGCGCATGTGAATGACAATGCCAAGACAGAGAAGGAGAGCCTTTTTCGCACATTTCGCCGACGATAGACTCGAGAGCTCCGTTGAATCACGAATACATGATGGACGGAAAAGTTGAAGCAGATGGAATGCCATGCGGAACACCGACAAAATATGGGATTCACTGACTCCTTGAAAGCAATGTATGGACACGCGTGGCAGCCGCTGAGAACAATGGTCAATGGTACTTCAGGCTCTTCTTGCACACAGACAGCAGACATCATGCAGACCTAGCGAAGGTACTTTGACTCTCCATTACAATCCTTTTAGTACTTGACTGGCCTACCTTGCATGGCTGCAAAAGCAAGAGATGAAGATGTGTTTTGTGGACACAGCGACAGTGCTTGAAATGCAGAGAGCACTTGCTCAGCTACGAAACGGCAACTTCGTCGGAGCCCACCGGATCCCGCATGAAATGTTGAAACACGGCGGACCAGCGCTGGTACATGCACTGCACCAATTGATACGAGGCTCTGGGGCTGGTGTCGCGTAAGTTTGGTTGTCTGAGTAAGTTTGTCCGTTTAATTGTGGGCCTGCACAGTGATGTTTGGGCGAGATTTCGGATATGTGGATGACTACAGTTATCTCTGGTGTGAAGCAATACTGTGTCCTATTCTCTAGCCTATTTAGTATTTACCTAAATGCCATAAGGCATTGTGCTTTTGATGCTGCTTGTGATTACGGAGTCGTCTGGAGAACCGTATTCCTGGTTGTTTGCTGGACAATTATCGTTTCGGGGCGAGAATCCTAATGTGAGTGACAAGCGTAGGTATTTTGTTATTTTTGCGACGAGTGCACGCTTTTCGCACGCCCAGCGGATGAGTCGAAGCAAATGAAGATGGATCTCGCTTCGACAGCCGCCAAATACGGGCTCACCAACAACAAAAGCAAGACCGTTCGTAGTTTCTAGCCTTCACCGTCAAAGAAGTCCATGTGCCTTCGGAAATCTAGATTGGCAACGCTTTATTGAAACCATCACAAAATTTTGATACCTAGGAAACGTAAGGCAATCGCGATCGCAAGTGCTACTGCGCGATGCACGCGATATGTACGAATTACACTCCATCGACGTTTATCACTTCATAATTACAGTTTTACCCCCACCATACTGCGGGACTTGTCTAGCAACTGTTTTCTACCCGACATAAATCATTGTTCATTGTACCCATCGCTCCTTCGCATACAAGAGGTCTTCTCTTGCACCTCAGCAACTGCCTTCGTGATCAGATCGCGCCATGTACGCCAATCAACCACCTTCGATTTCCGTGACCTGCAATCAAGATTAGAACGTGGTCGGCTCAATGTGATCATGTCCTGGTAAAGAGGCTTCGATTTCCTCATATGACGCTTCCCCAAACTCAGCTAGCCACATAGTAGCTGCTTCGGTTTCCGCGTCGAATCCATACGCCACTCATGACGGAGCAACTTCAGGTGTCTCAGCAAAAGAGTGTAGTCCACTGCATACATTCCACTTCAGCGCAACACTTCCGTGTTCGCAACTCCGTCGCACCAACCGATACGCAGAAGCCTTCGCAGGCACTGTTGATAAACCCGCTCGAGATATCGCACATCCCGCAGATACATCGCCCACGTTTCGTTACCGTATAGAAGAACGAACAACACCATGAATTTGTACACCATCAGCTTTGTGCCAACGATAAGTTGATGGTTGTTCCACACTCAGTACACAAGCTTCCCGAATCCGGCGGCTGCCTTGGATACACGGATAAGAAAAGCACTGTATCTGCCGGTCAGTCGAAACCACACTCCCAAGTTGGTCAAAATGAGAGGTGGTTTCTACTACTTCAGCACCAATGCTTATTCGCGACACCAGTGCAGATTGCAACTCTGATGAAGGCTAAAGGGACAGACAGTTTTAATTGTGTTGATGGCGAGCCTGAATTTGGCCGCTGCCGAAGCCAGAGCACTAGTCGTGTGTACAACTCATCCGCGCTGTGTGCAAACAACGCATAGTCGTCAGCAAACAGCAACATACGGATAGTTGTCTCACAGACTTGGGTTTTCACACCAAAACGACGGATGTTCAGCAATCCACCATCAATACGGTGCGCCAACGAACACTGTAAACACAATCCGCAACAAAAGCACAGGACATCATTGTATGAAGATATATGTGAAACAGGGCAGGAGCTGAGCCACGGCCTTGCTTCGCAGCAGGGGCAACTGCAGTCATCAGAGGTCTGTCCACTCAGCTGCCCCCTAGCCCGCATACCACTGTGCAGACATGCAGTTAAACTTACCAACTTACGCGGGCAACCGAACTTACCGAACACCAGCCACAATGCCTCGCGGTTCACCGTATCAAATGCCTTGGTGAAATCAACAAAAAGCGAGTAAAAAGGCTGGTGTCGTTCTCTGTAATTCTCCTGCAACTGACGAGCCGCAAACACCATATCGATGTTTTTGCGGTCCGAATAGAATCCACATTGCTCTTCCGACACGTTAGGTTCCACAACCTGACTGACGAGGCGGTTGAGCAGGATTCGGGCAAGCAGCTTGCCCACACAACTCAGCAAGTTGATGCCACGATAATTCGTGCAACATTGCTTGCTCCGTTTGCCCTTGTACAGCGGTAACACAAGGGCATTTTTCAGTTCAAGAGGCACCACCTCCACAATCCATATGCGTTTCACCAAGTGGTGCAGCGCATTCCCTAACTCGGGTTCACCGTGTTTCAGAACTTCAAGCAGGATCCCATCGGCACCGGCACAGTTGCATTTCCAAAGCGCAGCAACTGTTCCCTGCATCATATCCACTCTCGGTATGTTCACCAGACTCACCTTCATCTCTTTCTGATTCAGGCCTTTCAGTGTAGTCCAGTCAATCTCTGAATCATTGTTCAAGTGAAGGTCAAAGTTATTGCTCCAGAACTGTATTATGTCTGCAGTCTGCGTGCAGGCAAGGCACGAACCACCATCGAGCAGCGTTTTCAGCGGCTTCAACCAGGGTCTATACACTACCTCTATTGAGTCAAAGAATTCATTGTGTTAACGGCGTTCGGCGTAGCATTGTAACTGCTTCAATGTCTCTGTCCACCATGCATTATTAATGCGACGGAGCTCTCAGGTCCTTGGTCGTCGAATTCCGCCAAACTTTCTATACTTCCCCAAGTCACTGGGGTCTGTCATTTGTACCGCAAATGCTGCATTCTTCCCCGACATTAATGCGGCAATCGTCGCATTGTTCTCATTAAACCAATCAAGTAGCTTGCAGTTTGCGGGCCCGATTGTCTCCTCGGCAGCAGGCTTCACCTGGTCGCGAATGTGGTGCCACAGGTCGCCCACTGTCGCTATGCATTCCACAGTACACAGGCGTTCAGCCATCGCCTTCTCCAGCTCAACAAGTTTTGCTACAGTGCCAAGGGAGAGAATGTTAAATTTACGCCGATTCACGGCGGGAGTGCAATACATTGATTTACGAAAATATATGTACAGTTTGGTGCGCACCAATTTGTGATCAGTGCCACATTCGGCTCCACGCAGTACACGTGTCATGTGCACTTCACGCATATCAGGCTGACGTACGATGACATAGTCGAGCAGGTGAGCGTGACCACCCCGTGGGTGCGTCCAAGTTGCTAAATCACTCGCACTCAGTACAAATAGAGTGTTCATGATCGTCAGGCTATGAGTAGCACGCAGTAAGAGCAGCTTGTCACCGTTCGCATTCGCTGAGCCAATGCCATACAGGCCGATGACGTCTGTCCACAAAAATTAGATGTGTCAGCTGTACGCCGTAACGGCGCTTCGCTGCCGCGCGACCACCACCAGTCACGCGCGCGCTGGGTATACTGCGAGGACGCCCACCCATACGCGGATTCGAACCGGTGACCTTATGTTTGCAAACCAAACGTGCAGACCTCTATCCACACCGATGCATGACACCCAACTCGAGCATTGAAATCACCCAGCAGAAATAGTCGGTTGCTCTTCGGGGTAGACCGTGTCACTGAGGATTATTGCGTGTAGATTTAATCACGCTTGTCATCAGGATAACACATGGTCGGACTGTACGTGCTTATAAACGTGGCAAACTTACCTCTTCCGAGTCGTACGCGAACAGTCATCAGTCGCGCGCTGGTGCCAGTCCACTCACCCACGAGCTGTCCATTGTCGCGATCGGATAGTGCCAATCGAGTCCATGTTCACGCGGTTCTGCGATGATGTTTCCCACCTAGCAGAACGTATAAAAGGCACCAGCTTCATGTAACTTGTTTTGCTCAACAAGTGGGGTCTTATTTGGTCACCTCTTAAGAAGATTGGCACGATGTCCTCTAACTCCTTCTCGGATGGCATGATCTCTGTGGCTTAAATCTCTTGAAGCAAGGTGTTCATTTCAGAAGGATGAGACGGGACTCCATTCATAAAATGACCCGGAAGCAGTTCGTCAGACCGTGGGTTTACAAACATGGACCAAATGCTCCCCAAGACTTCAGCTTTACGCTGCCGGAATTCATTGCTCCACCGGAGTGACTTTATTTAGTGGCAAACCAAATCCGCCACGTCGCAGTGTTGTTAAACTATGTGGCTTTTCGTAGGGAGAAAGCTTGCCAGACGGAAACCCACCAGGTCCTGGTACTCTGCCGCCGAAATATTTATTGGAAGGTAATAAACCAGAACCAATCAGCTGGTACGACGAGGAGGTTGCTCAGCAAGCCAGCCACGAAGTCACCAATACTCAGGAAAAATGTGGAGAAACAATAGGGAGAAGCTGACTCGCGACCCGGGAGGCGTGATTCCGAGAATACTTAGGTACAGCTGC